AGATCCTCTGGGATTTGGGGAGGGTCTCTCCAGCCCCCCCCCCCCACCCCCCAAAATCCCAACTGTACCCCCTTTCACCACAGAGGGGGGTCCAGACCCAGCGCTCAATGCCCAGCTGGCCAACGTGGTGGAGCAGTGCCGGGCGAAGAACATGCCCAAGGCTTCCATCGAGGCGGCCATCCGTGGCGCGGTAGGTCCTGGGGGATTTTGGGAGGGGAACCAGACACGGGGCGGGGGGATCCCTGAGCCCCCCTCTGCTCCAGGAGAGATCGGCGGCGGCGGCAGCCCGGCTGCTGTATGAAGCCCGTGGCCCCGGTGGCTCGGCTCTTCTCCTGGAGGTCCTCACCGATAATCCCCGGCGGAGCCAGCACGATGTCCGGGTCATCCTCACCCGTCACGGGTCAGTCTGAGGGATCCGGGCCAAGAACCCGGTTTGGTCAATCCAGGGCTGAGTCGGTTACGGTTGCCCGCAGGGGAACGCTGGCAGAAGGGGCACGACACGGCTTCGAGCAGAAAGGGGTGGTACGCGTGGGGCCACGGGACCTTCGGGGCCAGCCCGTCTCTCTGGAGGCGGCACTGGAGGCAGCGCTGGAGGCCGGGGCCCAGGACGTCTGCCCGGATGAGGAGGAGGAGGAAGAAGAAGAGCCAGCGCTGAAGGTGGGTGAGGAGAGAAGAGTTTGCCTGGTTTCAGAGCAGATGGGGTGGTCCTCTTGATGCCCCGGCTGCTCTTGGCCGTTGCCTGGCCACTCTTGGCCATTTCTGACCACCCAAGACCATCCCTGACCACCATTGGTTGTCCCCAGCATTCTTGACCATCCCTGGCCTCTCTCAGCCATCCCTTGGCCATCCCCAACCGCCCTTGGCCGTTCCTTGACCATCCCCAACCACCCTTGGCCATCCCTTGACCGTCCCTGACAGCTCCTGACCGTCCGCGACCGCCTTTGGCCGTCCCTTGACCGTCCGCGACTGCCTTTGACCGTCCCTTGACCATCCCCAATGGCTCCTGACCGTCCCTGACTGCCCTTGGCCATTCCTTGACCATCCCTGACTGCCCTTGGCCGTTCCTTGACTGTCCCCGACCGCCCTTGGCCGTCCCTTGACCATCCCCAATGGCTCCTGACCATCCCCGACCGCCCTTGGCCATTCCTTGACCATCCCCGACCGCCCTTGGCCGTTCCTTGACCGTCCCCAATGGCTCCTGACCGTCCCTGACCACCCTTGGCCGTTCCTTGACCATCCCTGACTGCCCTTGGCCGTTCCTTGACTGTCCCCGACCGCCCTTGGCCGTCCCTTGACCATCCCCAATGGCTCCTGACCGTCCCCGACCGCCCTTGGCCATTCCTTGACCGTCCCCGACCGCCCTTGGCCATTCCTTGACCATCCCCGACCGCCCTTGGCCATTCCTTGACCATCCCCAACCGCCCTTGGCCATTCCTTGACCATCCCCGATCGCCCTTGGCCATTCCTTGACCGTCCCCAACCGCCCTTGGCCACCCCTTGACCATCCCTGACTGCCCTTGGCCATCCCTGGACCATCCCTGACTGCCCTTGGCCGTTCCTTGACTGTCCCCGACCGCCCTTGGCCGTCCCTTGACCGTCCCTGACA